GAGTCATACTGACCGGCAGAAGGCGCTCGACGGCCGCAACGGGTTTTGGACGCATTCGCCGCCATTTTGGCAGAGATTTGGCGAACAATTGCTTTGAAGAGAGTATTGATTGGAATCTACGGAAAGACCGTTGAGTTGTGATTGTTGTGCGAGAAATGCGTTGAAAAACTCACGAATAATCGAATTGTTGGCGAACTGAAGGGTCGGTCGCGCGACGAGCGACAGGACGACGACGACGACAGACAACGCGAGACTCGACACTGACTTCATTGTCGTCTTTTGGGACACTTGTTGACAGTCGACAAGACTTTGCGTTCACTTATCACCACTTCTTGGCCTTGGTTTCGGCCATAACTTCGGCGAACACAGAGTTGGCGGACTCGTGGCGTCCGTACGGGTCGTGAAGAGCGGAAATGCGGCGAAAAAGCGGACAAAAGGCTGTGGAGTGTTGTCTTCAGTGGTTTGGCGAACAAAAAGCCAACGACTATGGAGAGGAGTGCGCGCAGTGAAGGCAATGCTGAGAAAAACTTTCAGCCAATGAGAAGTGTGCGAAAGGCAGGAGTGGTGCGCGAGGAATGTAAGCGCTGTGAGAGCTGTTGAGAGCCTCGAGACAACAATCGTCGCAAACATCTGTCGTCTCATTATTGAGAGCACGAGAGCAGAGATGAGAGAGTTTTGAATTTATTTACAATTAATTTCCCACAAAAGCAAGTGATTGGTTGAGTCGTCGCGTCCGCCGTTGGCCCCGCCCTCCAGGGAGGCGCCGCCCCGGCGGTACACCTCGATGCCGTCGCCGCCCGAGATGACGAGCCCGTGGATGGCCGTGAGGAAGCGCACGTGACCCGTGTGTCCGTTCGGAACTGTTTATAGGAGAAAAAGACATTAAAAAGACATTAAAATGCATTAAAAGACATTAAAAGACAAGAAATGCTCACCGATTTCGAGTTCTTTGGATTTGGTGTCGAGAATGCAAACGATTCCGGCCGAGCTCCCGATCCACACGCGCTCCTACAATGAGAAAACTCATATTAACACTTTTTATTCATTATCAGACACCCGCTCCTGGAATATAGGAAAAGAAAAGCTTATCTCAGGAAAGCTTTAAAGCTTTGCACGCATTGCGCAATAATTGTGTAACGCTTTCAGTGATTACTAGAGAAGCAAAAAAAGGGCTAATCATTGCGCGCAGACCAATATTAATAGCGTTAAAAAGTTTAGTTTTCGGTTTTCATTAACAAATTAGTGACCATTTGTTTCTAATTTAGTGATGAATGCGACCAAAAAATAAAGTTTTTGTAAATAAAATGCAAGTCTTTAATGCAGTCGTAATGTTGATAAAAAGTTGTTAAATCTTTTGACGCAATCTTTTGAATGAAATTTACCAAATATTATATTTTCATTTACTCAATGTTTACACAATTAGCCCTTTTTTGCTACTCTAGTGATTACGCAATGCTTTTGCATTGAAAGCGGATTTCAATTGAATGAACGGCTGATTAACGAATGAGTCAATACTTGGACCGCGAGAAGCGCTGAGATCTTGAGACACGCGCTCTTGTGTTGCCGAATGATGTCTTCGCACGAAATGAGCGCTAATTATGGGAACAGTAATTAATCACGTGATCAGTCTTTGGGAG